ATTGTTGTTGATTTGACTTGGTATGCTACCCTTTCTTGACACATGGCATGATTTTACTGACTCGTTTATTTGGCTTGGATCGCCTTATCACTTGAAACGTAGCTGGATTTTATTGGCCCGTTCTTTTGACTTGGATTGCTACATCACTTGACACACAGCATGAGCCTAGGCTTCAAGATGGGCTAATAGCCATTTGGATCTTGGGCTAATGAAGTGGACTTATCATTTAATTTGCAGTCAAATTAAGCCTCATTTGTTTGCACTTAGTGGAGGTCTGAATCTTAATCATTCAGATCTCAAACATTAAGTGCGTTTTGTTTTTAAGTTTGAATCTTAATTATTCAGATATCAATCATAAATTGTGTTTGTTTTTTTTACTTCACAACCACTTAATGGGTCCGAATAAGTCTATATGATTAAGATCTATAACAGAGACTTGATTTCATTAAGATGCTATCATCCATATTCATTATTAACTGCCGCCACCGTCTACCATTATCAACTAGCACCATGCCACCACCACCCCCATACTCAGCCACCACCACCACCATACTCAACCACCACCACCACACCACCATCATCCTCAATCATGGCCGCCACCATTATCGACTATCACCACCTACCATCCCCACCACTCCCACTACCATCATTCTTAACCACAATCAACATTCATCCACCTCAACCACCACAACTAACCACCCCATTACCATCAACAACCACAACCGGTACTGCCCATAATTATAACCTACCACCACTCACCACCACCTTCCTCAATCACTACTACCACCACCATCCGCCATTATTAACTATCACTACCGACCACCGCCATCCTTAATAATAATCGCCACAATTACCAATCACCACTAGCTACTACCCTAAAGCACCACCATCAATGAAAACTACCACCAACCACCGCCTATAGCGCGACATTCACCCATTAGCCATCACCATCAATAACTATCATATTTTAAAAAACTATATATTGTATTGATAGAATATTAGATTAATTAGTATTTCATTTGAATTTTATGTTTATTGATTTTCAAATAAGGATATACATTCAGATGTAGAAATCAAACAATCTTAATCATTTAGTATTCAGATCTTAATACACATCTTAATATTCAGATGTGATCCAGATTCAGATGTCTTAATCTTAATACACATCTAGATATTCAGATGTGTACTCAGTTTCAATCGTTTTAATCTTAAAAACAACAAATGAGGCCTAAATAGACTAGCCCAACACACACACGCACACACACACACACGCACACACATATTTGTTTGGACTATTGTGTTGAATTTAATATAGTCCAAATTATTTTATGGATTTAAATCTGATGAAATTTTAATGCTTACACGTGGTTCTGTATCCTATTCAAAAAGTTAAATAGAAGCTCTACCCTTAATCTCTTTTACTTGTTATGTTTGAATTTTACACCCCTCTTAAGAAAATGTTAATTAAAAGAAGGGAGAATTACAACCTTGTCACTTAGCCCAACAACCCATCAGAAAATGGCCCACATTTGGAGCCCTTACCCAGTGTAGCCCAAGTTGTACATAACCTGAAAATTACTTTTCATCAATTAGCCCACCTTTTTTTTCTTCTTTCTTCTTCTTCTTCTTCCCATGTCACGCCTTTGCACCCCAAAATTTTTCTACCATTGTTATTCTCCTTCAATTCTTCTTCCAGATTCAAAGATGATCTCTTATGAAGTGCATTATTCTGTAATTTTGTCACTTATGGTTCACTTCGATTTCAGAAATTTGGGTTTTCCAATTTGTTAGTTTTTTAGAATGGGTATTGTCCCAATTGATTGGAATTATCAACAGGAGTTCAAAACTTAAATTTCAAGTGATTGGAGTAGATTTATGCTGGATTTGAGTTAAATTTCAGAGGATGCCCAAGGAAGAAGAAGAACCCGTGAAGCTCCATTGACAGAATTCATTTGTATAATACTGTATAAATAGTACATAAAGTGTATAGACACCTCTTATACACTATTTTATACAAGGTTGATACATTATTTACAGTTATTTGGTGAATTTCTCAAATTTTCTTCTTCTTCTTCTTCTTCTCCTTTCTTCTTCTTCTCATTCTTCTTATACACCTATATACATAGTGTATCACGAATATTTTTACTACTGTGAATATACATCTTTATACACTTTTATACAACTATATACATAATGTATCTCTTTGTATAAAAGTGTATAACATTGTATAAAAGTGTATAAGCATCTATGATGAACTTTTTGTACGATTTTCACTTGCAATTCTTGTATAAAACTAGTCCAAATCTCCAGCAAATAACTTCAAACTGTGTATACAACCTACTTAGACTATTTCTAATAAGTTCAAACAATACCCACTCCAAATTTCTCACAAAATCATAATCGAAAATTAAGAAGATTAGCATTGAACGAGATGAGATTTTAGGTTCTCTCGTCTGATTTTGCGTTTTCTAGTTGTGATAGGTATGTATAAACTTGAGGAAAAAAGAGAATAAAAACTGACGGATATTTCACGCCTAAAGATACACAAAATAAGAAAACAAAAAAAAAATAATTCAGAGAAATATTGGTTATGGGAGAAGGCATGAATTAGTGTTGACTGAGTGTCTCGGCAATGGTTACACTAAAAATAGGGAAATGATTTTCGTTTTCATTTTTTGTTTGCATATGATACTTTTTATTAATTAAATTAAATATTTATGGGTGAAAATGAGGAGAGAGCTACAATACAATATGTAGGTGATGAAAAAAAAGATGAGGTTGTTATAGTTAGAGGGAATGGTAAAAGAAAAGGTCTTATTGATATTTGGCTACATATTTACAAATTTGTAACTGGGCTAAAATAGTGCAAGGTCTACTTATGAAGTGTATTATTGTGTAATTTTATCTTAAAAGAATAATTTAACTAGATTGTCCTTATACTTTAATCTCAATTTATTTCTATGAACGGGAAGATATTTCGTGAAGTTAACTCTGATATTTATTGTGATAGTAACCTCTCAATCCCTATAGGGCAAGTATGCTTGGGAGCAGGAAAAATCAATTAGAATCAAAGATGGAAATCAGAGCTAGTAGAGATTGGGATTGATTGATCCATAATGAGAAGACACAGACTGATCCATTAATGCAATCAGTTAATCAATTACTATGGATTGAAGTGTGTGCCATGGCGAAATATCTACACTATATTCATGACCCCCCCCCCCCCCCCTAAAAAAAAAAAAAAGATACAAAAGGATTATTGAGGCCAACAATAGCCGATAAATGACTTTTAAATGAATACTAGCTATAAAACTTTACACGTTTAAGTACAGTACTCCTCCTTATATATCAGTAGTCGTGAACGTTGAAGAGTAGTAATGGATTACTTTTTTCTCTATGCATCCGATATTCTAAATTTACTAATTTAATAAACTTGATTTTGAGTTTTGAAAGGCTTATTAAAAGGAAAGATACGTCCTACAAGGAAATTTTGAATTCTCAAGCCCGAATTCGACATCTTCGTTTAATGGTAAAGGACTTCTATCTTTTTTTTGGTTGGATAAAGGACTTCTATCTTACTATACTCCTTGAGGATATAATAATAGTAATAGTTTGGGTGATGATTGTGATATGCATATTTCGTGGCAAGGTGATGATTGTGATATGCATATTTCGTGGCAAGTCAATTTAGGCATAGCTCCAAGTCAGTCGATTTAAAAAGATGGGTTGAATGGGGCTAAGTGTAGTCCAAATTGACCCATAAGAAAATTTATTAAAATATTTATATAAAAGATTTAAACAAATTTTAAGAAAATAAACAAAGAAATTAAATACAGATTAGAGTTGTACATGTTGAGTTATGATACATTGTTTAGATTATCTTGACTCAGCTCGTTTCCGCCCGAGTAATCTTTTGACGGATTAATAACAGTCCATTTATTGATTCACACCATTTTGATTCGTTTCAAATTCAATTCAACTCGCCTATTTAACACAGCCTAATTAGCTTAGTAATTTGCAGAGGAATTTTGTAATTTCCTCAAAGAGCAAGAAAAGGGATTAGATGGTGGGAGTTAGTGGTGTACATGGATCGGGTTGGTTCAATTTTTTTCAAAATCAAACCAAATCAACTATATCGATTTGGTTTTGTTGGTTTTTTTGATTTTTTCAAGTTTTTTTTTTCTAATGTAAATATTATTTCAATTTTACTTTATTAAATTTTTTATAAGTAAATATATGTTTAGTAAAAACTTAAAAGATTAACAAATATATGATCTCATATTATTATGGAAGAATTTTCACGTGATAGTTACTTTTTAGTCGTCTGAAAATAATTTTAATATTGATGTACACTTTTAAGGTTAACCAAATTTAATAATTAAACATAAAAATAAATATGAACCTATATAATGATATGTTCTATTTAATTTTAAATTATCGAAATACCATTTCAAATTCGTAAAAGATACAAGAATTAGCTAGTAGATCTTTACATATGAATATGGAAGAACAAAGAGATTGACGCATTTCACTAATACTTGATAAGAAAGTGATCATACAACCCATTATTTAAAGTTAATAAATATGGAACACTTTATATTTAACTAAATATTACATCCCATAAGAGAATCACAAATATTTTTTGACATTTTTTGAAGAAAAATCTATAAAAAGTCGTAAAAGTATATATTTATATGACGGTTCGGTTCAGGTATTTTTACTCAATATCAAACCAAATCTAGTCGGATTTTTTAACCTGGTTAGTTTGATTTTTCGATTTGGTGCGATTTTTCGGTTAATTTGTATACCCTAGTGGGAGTGTAGGATAACGTAGGTCCAGTGAATGTGTGCATGGCTGAAAAATGGAAACCATGCACGCAGCCATTCTGTATCATCTTATCATTTCCAACTTCCCCAATTAATTACTCATCGTATAAATAAGCTGGTCAGTTTCCTTCTTTTCTTGAATCTTGAACTTCCCAGCTACCTATATATACACCTCTGTGCAACCGCTCCCGAGGTACACACACATTATATATAATTAGACTGCTGGATAGTGTGTCCGCTGAAACTTGAATTTTGTTTCGCGTTGTTGTAGATCCTAAAAGAATTCTGTCATACACGCAATATTAATATAAATTAAAGAGCAGCATAAATTCCTTAAAGACGGTGAATAAGTTGTATTGAAGCATCGATATTGTGATATCAAGAATATATGGCGGAAGATGATAAGTATGTCAAAGATGGAACAGTGGACTACAGAAACAATCCAGCAATCAAGAAGGAAACTGGAACTTGGAGAGCTTGCCCCTACATCCTTGGTACTAATTTCTCATATACTTCGAGTTTTTTCTTTTTTCAAATAAAAAAAAAAAAAAGAAAATTTTCATTTTGCTGAAGTACAAATTTTTGTTTCTAACAGGAAATGAATGCTGTGAGAGGTTGGCATATTATGGAATTAATACGAATCTAGTGAACTATCTCAAGTTTCAAATGAACGAGAGTAGTGTTGTGGCTGTTAATAATGTCACAAATTGGTCAGGGACGTGCTATGTCACACCATTGCTTGGTGCATTTCTAGCTGATGCCTATTTGGGAAGATATTGGACAATTGCTGCCTTCTCAATCATCTATGTCTTTGTATGTAAGCCTCTTTATATTTGCTTTACCTGTTTATTCTACATACTAGTCATCTAAAAGATAACTGCAAATAATTATTTTAAAGAAAAAATAGAATGAATAAATTAAAAAATAAGGCAGGTTGTCTGATACAACATATTAAAATATATTAATAGCATAAAAATCCTTACATTGTCATCGGGGGCTGCTCTGGTTCTTCGGCATCAAGTTCATCTAAATTCAATATTTTCAATTTCGAGAGTAGATCTTTTCTTTGTTGTTGTGAAAACGCACACAAGAATCATAAATATTATATCTGAATCATTTTAAAAGTACAATGCACTCAATCTTAAAATGTCGAACTCATACTGTTAAAATCATGTATCCACCTCGCATTGTCACTAGAGGTGGCAAATTGGATAGTTTAGATTAAACTTGGGTAAGCCAAAACAAGTCAAGTTAATAAATGAGTCATGCTTAGGGGTGTGCATTTGATTTATCGATTCGATTTTGATCCTTATCGATAATTACTTATCGATTATCGATTTGTACATATGCTTATCGTTATCGTTTCAATAAGGTTTTGATTTTTTCGATTTCGATTTATTAATTTTTGGGGCTTATCGATTCGATTATCGATTACACCAATAAGAAAATTTGCGGGATTCCACGGAAAGTATATCGCTATAAACACGCCTAACTAATATGGACAAAAAGAAGCTAAAATAAGACGAACACCGTTTATAACATAAAAATTGTGTCAACAAGCACATGCAACGAAACTAAAGTGAGGGATCAAATGTATGCCACCAACACTCCAACGGTATAAAAAAAAACAAAATACATCATCACGGCTAATTTTGTTTTCCATTAATATGAACTTCATTCCCTTGAGCTTTAAATATGATCATTCCTTAAATGTGGTAGAGGAAATAATAGGGTTAGGGACTTAGGGTAAAGGAAATGGTATTATAGAATAAGAGTAAAAAAAAAAAAAGTCTTTTTAGTATATTTTATCGGTTTATCGATAAACCGATAACCGAAGAGGACAAAATCGAAATCAGATAAGGAAAATTTTGAAATTGAAATCGAAATCGATAAATCGATAAACCGATAACAAACAATCGATTCGATTTATCGATAAACCGATTCAAATGCACACCCCTAGTTATGCTCCAACTCACCCAAAGTTTTCTTGGGTCAAAGTTTCCTTTTGGAAGAAAAAGTAAGGAAAGCCTAATGTATTTTTCTTATATTTAGCTTTAGTGTGTCTAAATATTTTCCAATGGAACGTCCAAATAAATCCAGAGTTTTAATTTATGCAGGGGATGACTGTATTGACATTATCAGCATCAGTGCATGGACTAAAGCCACCTTGTGATGATCAGAACAACACTTGTCATCCTAAAGGGATTCAGATTGGAATGTTCTACTTAGGACTTTATCTAATAGCTCTTGGTACAGGTGGGATTAAGCCATGTGTTTCATCATTTGGGGCAGATCAATTTGATGATTCTGAAGAAACTGAGAAGAAGAAAAAGAGTTCTTTCTTCAATTGGTTCTATTTTTCAATTAACATAGGTGCACTTGTTGCTTCCACTGTTCTTGTTTGGATACAAACAAATGTTGGTTGGGGTTGGGGTTTTGGTATCCCTGCTGTGGCAATGGCTGTTGCTGTTGTAAGTTTTTTCTCAGGAACAAGATTATATAGGAATCAGAAACCTGGTGGAAGTCCACTTACTAGGATTTTTCAAGTGATTGTTGCCTCTTTTAGGAAATTTAAAGTGAAGATTCCTAGAGATAGTTCTCTTTTGTATGAAACTGCTGATGAAGAATCTGCTGTCCAAGGTAGCAGGAAGCTTGATCACACTGAACAATTGAGGTATATCTTAAATCATTTTAACTTATATGCACTCGAGCTTAGGGTTTAGGGTTTAGGGTACAGGCATCTATTACATTGAATTTACCCGATAGTCCCATTTTGGGAATATTCAGTGCCAAAGCCACTGAATGGTAATGGGTAAGTTGCCAATCCCTCGATTATGTAATGCAGTATTAAAACTTTTGTGGTAGTTATCTTTACATAATCTGGTAGAATAAACGTTATTTTTATATTTATAAAAGTTAAACCCAACTTACAAAGTTACAATGTACTCTTCATTTGTTTGTTCAATATAAATCATTCCTTATTAAATATAATCTCCATGCAATATCAGTACAAACGCAGATCAAGCATGATTATTATTATTATCTACGTTGTTCAGTGGAGCCATAGAGCTGCCAAAATTGAAGCCTTGGATTTTAATGAAATGAATGTCTTTTATAAGATACACCAGAAGTCATACCCTGGATAACTAAATGAGTCTTATCTTTTATACACTGCAAACATAAAGAATTTCTTTACTATCAGTGTAATGTTGAAATGTTATAGCAAGTTGTCAGTCTTATTTTACATGTATACTAATTTCAATTATCAGATGACTAGTAGTTATCTTTTAGGTGACTTGATAGTGTAAAAGAAGATGGTTACACCGGTCGATGTATAGAAGTTAAACTCAAAGTGTCTAATTTTATAGAATAATACGTTATTAGGATTTTACCAAAGAGAAGTGTCTCTTAAGATCGCAAAACAATTAATATATCGATTTTTAATGCTTTGATCTTCATTTTCTATCCAGTTTCTTTGATAAGGCAGCAGTGGAGACACAATCAGACAAAATCAAAGGCTCAGTTAATCCATGGAGCCTTTGCACTGTGACACAAGTTGAAGAACTGAAATCAATTATCAGATTGTTGCCTATATGGGCAACTGGTATCATCTTTAGCAGTGTGTATAGTCAAATGGGAACCTTATTTGTCCTTCAAGGCAACACAATGGATCTTCACATGACCAATTCCTTTGAAATTCCTTCAGCTTCTCTTTCCCTTTTCGATACGATTAGTGTCATTTTCTGGGTACCTGTCTATGATCGTGTCATCGTTGCATTGGCAAGAAAATTCACCGGTCACAAGAATGGTTTCACACAGCTTCAGAGGATAGCAATTGGACTAGTCATTTCAATATTTGCAATGCTGATTGCTGGAACACTGGAAATGGTAAGACTAAGAACTGTAAGAGAACATAATTACTATGAGATGAAGCATATTCCTATGTCAATTTTCTGGCAAGTTCCTCAGTATTTTGTCATAGGTTGTGCTGAAGTTTTTACCTTCATCGGGCAATTGGAGTTTTTCTATGAACAAGCTCCTGACGCGATGAGAAGTTTATGTTCTGCTCTTTCTCTTATAACGACCGCGCTTGGAAACTATTTGAGTACATTTTTGGTCAATATAGTTACAGATATGAGCACTAGGATTGGTGGTCCTGGTTGGATTCCTGATAATTTGAACTATGGTCACCTTCACTATTTCTTCTGGCTTTTGGCTGTGTTAAGTGTGCTCAATTTTGGTTTCTTTCTATTTGTTGCAAAATTTTATACTTATAAGAAGGCAATAGGTCCATCCTCATAATTTATTCCAATTTGTAACAGTGTTATGAGAATGGTTCTCCCAACACCCTCATAATTAGTTTCCCTCTGTTTCTGCAAGTTACAATACTGTATTCAACATTCTTGATTTTCTGAAATGAGAATTAAGGTTGTTTTCTTGTTTTTCTGAATTTCAGTATGGTAATGCATTATATTTGGTAAAAAAATATTGGCTGGTAACTAAAAGCGGATGGAGCCTATGTTTAGTGGGTTCATGAATTGAACCGATTTCAACACGAAACATATATAGATTGCTAGAAATATTAAAGGTGAATTTATCAAATTTAAATTTTGGATTTGTTTCTGCGCTGGACGGTGGTAAATGTCTTCATCAGCTAAAGTAGTAAAAGAAATCGATACTTTTGTTGAAAAGAACTGCAGTGATCCTTATTTATTTGTTAAGATGGGGATTGATGTATTCCTCTGATCAGCCCACAGTGACATTAACATAACTAGGAAATTCTACACATCATTCATCTTTCCACCCAAAGGCAAGTAGCATAACGAGGAAAGGTGATGACTAATGTAGACTGGATTTTGGATAAAAGTGATAAATGTTCCAAAAAAACAAATTTAGGGGAAGAAAAGAATGTAAAACAACCAAGACCTAAAACATGAGCAATTATTAGAAAGAGAAAGGAATATTCTTATGATGTAGTGAATAGTTTAAGAGAGTAGAAGCTGCAAATCGCGAGATTAAGATGTTGCTTTAATTGCAATTAACAATATAAGATTAGAAGCTGCAAATCGTGAGATTAAGATGTTGAATGTTTCTTTGGAAGCTCTTAAGGTTGAAAGAGACGGGCTAACTGAAAAGATTGAACTCATAGATTCTATGAAGAATTTTGAAGTTAAAAAGAATATGGAATTGGAAGCAAAAGTGGTGAGTTGAAGATGATCATCACAATTTTATGCTCGCTAATATTTGGATTTGCATTCTCCTATATAATGAAGTGAAATTATTTTGAAAGTAGTTTTTAGAAGGGGAATGTTGTATTTACTGTTGAATATTGGAATGTTGAACTTGTTGGAAGTTTCTATTAGATGTTTAATGGTTGGATTTTGTATTATAATGACATTCTTAACTTAATGATTATTGGAATGTTATTTAATGGTTTGATTTTGTATTGTAATGTCATTGTTGGTCAAATTGCTGTAATAAAGCTTTTTTAACAAGGCTATTTGCATAGCTAACTAGTAGTACTAATCTAAGTTGAAGCACTATTGCTTAAGGACAACAGTAACAAGGCCAAAAAAACTGTAGCACTATTCCTTATGTAATTGTCTTATACATAACACAACGGGATTGCAGTAAATAACTTATAAAACTGGGCTGCAGGACCATCATCAACAAACACAACAAAAACTGCTTAAGGACAACAGTAACAAGGCCAAAAAACTGCAGTAACAAGGCCAAAAAAACTGCAGAACTATTCCTTATATAGTTGTCTTAAACATAACACAACAGGACTGCAGTAAATAACTTAATAAAACTGGGTTGCAGGACAGCAATAACAAACACAACAAAAACTGCTTAAGGACAGCAGTAACAAGGCCAAAAAAACTGGGCAGCAAGGCCAAAAAAACTGGGCAGTAATGCAAAACAACTGGGTAGTAATGCAAAATAACTGGGCAGTAACATTAACAAAATCTGGGCAGTAAGAGTAATTCAACAAGTCATAATTCTGCCTATTACATCAAATTGGAGAAGTGGATGCCATGGCTATAACTTCAAAAATTCACTCAACCTTAGTCATAACAAGACATCCAACTCCAAATGCCAACAAAATAAACAAAGTGTTTAAGTTTCACTTTAGCTACAAACTAACAAAACAAGTCCTAGTTAGATTATCAAGGCCCCTTTCTTGTCTTCAACTTCCCAATTCTTTGTCTTGTTTGCATCTCCAATTGATTCCCAGTGATTGCTGCCTTTCTCTTCCATGTCAAGTTTACTGGGGAGTATGGAAGATCAGTAGGTTCACTTACACCTGTGTTATCTCCTGTAAACTTGATTTTCCTTGTCCCAGTGTTCATACCAACCTTCTACCTTTTCATAAGTCTAGTTTGTGATTCTAATATAAGGTTTCAACCTGGCATAAGCTAAGGTACCTCGCTCATTAGTCACTTCCCCTGCATGGTCAACTCTTGCCGGATTAATGTATTTGAATTAATCATATATTCATCCTTACGCGTAGAGATACCTATGAACATAACCAATACAGGGAACAAGGGCTATCGATCCTGGCCCGATGAGAAAAGGGTGGAACACTAGGCCTTAATGGAGGCTCAGGACCATCATCAAAATCGGAAGAAGCATCTAGAGTTGGAGTAGGCATAAAGATAAATGATTGACTGCTGCCAATGCCTTCACTTGTTTGGGACACTTGGGGTGCTAATAAATTGATATCTACCAATACCTCATCATCATCATCAGTGTCTTCATTAATTAAAGTCCTTTATTTTTTGGCTGGCTTCTTAGTCCTAGATGTCTGCCCTCATTTTCATTTGATGGCTGCTTCTTCTTTGTCACTTTCTGCACATTCATTGGCTGTTTAATGTAAAAAAGAAATAGTTAATATCAATTAAGTATAATAACAAATTCATTGCTAAGTATTAGGTCTATACCTTTTTACATCCCCTTGCATTATGGTTTGCCTCTCCACATGCCACAAGTCATAATTCTGCCTTTTCTAGACTGACTCCACCCCCTTGCCTCTTGATTGCCTCATCCTTTTGTCTATCTCTTCAGATAGTCATTATAAAGCTTCATGCTTTGAGGGCTATAGTCTGTCTTCCATGTTCTCACCTCATTTTCATGCTTTCTCAACTGATTCATTACTTTGAGTCTTATATCTTCCAACATCTTGATAATGGGCTTGTATCTAGCTTCTAATATCCAAGAATTGAAAGATTCTGTAAAATTGTTATCCACACCTTGATTTTTACAGACAGTGTCAAAGTATGCCCTACACCAACTCTGGGGTGGGTACTTTAACAGGTCTGTAACAGCTGCTTCCTTCAACTGTCCTAACTTGCTCGACTGATCCTTGAAGTCTTCTTCATAAGTGGCCCAAGCACTCCACCAAAGTAACTTCTTCATTTCAAGACCTCTATACTCTTTGCACTTGTTTGACTCTACATGTCTCACACAGAACCTATGCTTTGCTTCGGGAAGTACTGTCTTTATTGCCTCCATTAATCCCTGTACAAAACAATAGTAAAGAAACAGTAAAGAAAAGTTAGTAAAAAAACAGTAAAGAAGCAGTAAAGAAAAGTTAGTAAAAAATAGTAAAGAAACAGTAAAGAAAAGTTAGCAAAAAACAGTAAAGAATTGTGACAAAAAAAGTAAAGAAACAGTTATACCTTCTGCATATCCGACATAAATGTGACTCCATTGCCCATATTCAAGTCCAATGAATTGTGAAGAAGCTCCAGAAACCAAGTCCAACTTCTTTTTGTTTCCCTATCCACTACAACCCAAGCAAGTGGATAAAAGTGATTCATGTTATCTTGCCCAACAGCAACTAGTAGCTGTCTTTTAGCCTTCCACTTTAAAAATATACCATCAAGCCCAATAAATGGTCTCAAGCCCTCTTTGTACCCTACCTTCAATGCATGAAAATAAATGTACATCCGAAGGAATTTCCTTTTGCCTTGCAACAATGATTCTTTAGATAAATTAATAACCACATCACTTCCAGGATTACTGTCCCTCAAAGCATTGGCATATGCTTCAAGCTTGTTATAATCATCAGTGAAACTCCCTTCCAACTTCTCCAATATCATTCCTTTTGCCCTTTTAACCTTAGATTTACTAGCATTAAGTTGAAATAAATTCTTCAGGTCTGCCCTCATTTCTTTCACCTTATACTTAGGGTTGTCTTGCAACTTCTTCTTGAAGTAGTAAGCTATAGTGCTATATTCAACCCTACTATTATCAAAAGTAGGATTACAGTCATGTGTTGGATCTAGTGTCTTCACTCTACACCCCTCATTGCCCTTTTCAACGGAAATGAGACATTTAAATGGGCAGCCCAATACACACTTATACCTTACTCTAATTTTGTCACTTTTCACCAGCTTTAATTTCTTTTGATTAACCAATGAATAAAGGTTCATGAACTTTCTAGCTTCAGGAATGTTCTTGAAAGACATGCCTTTGTAAATCTCTTTGTATTCATTAAGGTTTTCACTAGGATACTTTTTCCTTTGAGCCTCAAATTGTTCTAACTCTTCAGAATCATAGGCCAGGCCATCAGAACCTGCCTGATCTTCAGCTTCATCTTCACTACTACTATCATCAGTACCAACTAATACTTGAGATATATAAGCCTCAGTATGGTTGACAATGTTTGGGACACAATTCTTCATACTCATCTACAGCATAGACATTTAGTACCTTAAATTCATCACAGGCAAGGAATAAAAGCTGTCTAATCCCGATATCTCCTTCAACTTCATAATACTTACCAGATGGGCCAGCAATTATTAATTATTGTACCCCTATATACCCTAACATAATAATGTATTCATCTACTATATCTTTAAAGGACAATAGGTCAGAATCTTTATCTTTCCAAATGTGGACCAACTTCTTTGAATAGACTAGGTGTGGCTCTTTAATCCAGTCACCCCCATAATTGAAAACTAGGTCAACAAGAACCATCTACAAACATAAATAAGACAGTGTAAAAAACTTTATCACCATAAAGTAATACTTTATAACAAATGGACCCCACTAATTAAAGAAATCAGAAATCAAACAATAAAGAATGGGGAAAAACAGTAAAGAAAGCAGAACATTGAAAAAAAAAACAGTAAAGAATGCAGAACATTACAATAAAGAATGCACAGCTACCACTTTCCAATGTACTTAATCACATGCATAAGGTATATTTGGACCCCATTCGATCATACACGAGCAAAAAGACACAACTCAAAGTAATAATAGACCATCAGAAATCAGAAATTAAAGGACCACCTCAAAAGATGCACATGCACGACAAAATAACATTAAATCGACAAACTACAAAGTAGGAAGCATGTATAATTACAGAAATATGCACATTTTCCGGAAAAAAACCCTAGCTCGAAACATTAGGTAGAAATCGCACATTCTTTAAAAAAATTAGCAGAAACACCACTTTACTTAGCTGAATCATGAAATATTTTAAGAAATAACTCACCTTTTTGAGTCTCAGATCCGGAGTTTTGTCACTGATGAAAACCCTAGATGGAACCCATCCCGTTCGTCATTTCTTTTTTTCAGTTTTTGATCTTTTGTTTATGTGTTATTTACAGTGATTTTAGTGTATTTACTTAGTTGGTCGGGTTTATGGGGCGGGCGGGGCAGTGGAATTGGGGCGGGTTGGTTTTATTTAGTGTAGGTGATTTTTGGTCTTCTCAGAGCGTGCCACGTGTCCCAGACATTAAAATGGGGGCATATATGAAACTTGGTTGGACGGTAAGGGTTTTAAGGGACGGAAAGTATAACAGGGGACGGTATTGAATAATATGTCATAGTAGAGGGGTATATTAGGCCCTTTTCCGAATAATTAAATTGTTTACATGCTTTAGTTCTCTTTTATTTATTTACTTTGTTATATTGTTCGCTAATGGTATGTTTAGGACAACCACATTTGGGTAGGCAAACCTTTAGGACGTTCGTGTTTTAGTTTCATTAGAGGTGAGAGGTCGTTCCCTTTAGTTCATATTCAGGGGAATGCCTTGTAAACTTTGTATATATTTTATCCGGGGTATGCCCCATAGTAAATGTAATTGGAGGCCGTGACGGACCACGTGGAAGAAGTATGGTATATATTAATGTCTATGACTTTACTATATTGTTTTTTATATATTTTCTTTTATTAGGTGGAGACGAACTCGAGCCTCTTTTGTGTTTGCTTTCCTTTTTTCTGTGTTTTTACCTCATTTAGAATATTTTTAAAATCCAATAAGATCAAGTATGCAACCGTACTAGTTACGGGACTCGGGAAATGCCTAACACCTTCTCCCGTCACATGAACCCCCTTACCTGAATCTGTGGTGCAAACTGGTTTTAGAGTCCAAACGTGTTTCAAAAGAACAAATCATTTCTAAAATACAGTGACCTGACACACCGAAACCAAATGTCAGGTGGCGACTCTGAAAAGTTTTTTTTGTCACTTTCAATTTTGAAAACTCTTTCAAGATTCAAAATCACTTTTATTATTTTAAAGAGGGTTTAGTGAGGTGAAAAGGGGGGGGGGGGGGTGGCAGGGTGACAGCTTTGGCGACTCTGCTGGGGAGTTGCAATTTCGAGTTGATACTTGATCTTGTTGGATTTTAGGATATTCGGTGGAGGTGTTTGTTTTCTTTATTTGGTTTGTTTGTCTTGTTTCCTGTTTTGTTGATTATTTATTTATCGCTTTTCCTTATGTGTTTACCGCTTTATGACTGTTATCATTTGCATAACTATGGGTCTTCTTTCTGCAACAAGTCTTCCGGAGTACATTTGAGCGTACATGGCCTTTTGTGAGTCACCCGTGTCTTTAGGTGGGTGGCGTGGGAGCGTGGAGTGGGCGGATAGCTGGAGCAGCCGCCATCGACCACGTGCCTCGTCGAATTGCCTTATCTAGTGAACCCTTAGACTTAGGTCAGCCTTTAGGTCATGTTTATTTGCACATGTCATTTACACTTAGTAGGGTCGATCCCAGGCACCGTGTCCCTTTATAGGAGGCCTGTCCAAATTATGTCAAAACGGGCCCATGGCCCAAAAAGATATTTAATCATCCCTATGTGCTACATGTTGCATTCTTTAAGGGTAAAGGGGTCATTTGACGGACCAATAATGGTTGAGGGTAAATGAGAAAGAAAAGAGGGTGAAGTATAAAGATGAAGCAAGTAGGGCCCAGTCATATTTTTCTTTCACAACTTTTTCAAGAAAAGACAAAAAAAAAATAAAAAATTCAAAAAGATTTTGCACTTTCCCATCATTTTCAAAAAAGAGAAAAAAAAAGAGAAAAAGAAAATCCAAAAAGATTCTACATTTTCCATTATTTTTCAGAAAAGACAAAAATAAATATATATTTTCTCCAAATTAATGTTTAAAAAAAAAATTCTCTCCCATATCCAATCTTCCCGAACTACGCATACCTGATTCTCATCTTTCGAGGCGTGATACGTAAGCAACCCACATAGGGTCCGGTCTTCCTAGTGAGTCTTAGGTTCTTGTCTTTGGGGGTCGTAGCCAAATCTTGCATGTCTAGCCACTTTTGGCCACATCGGTCTTTTTGCAAAATAGGGTTATTTTTGCAAAGTGGCTTGTTGAACCGTGTCCAGAGAGTCTTGAATCCACAGTCAGCTCTCTCCTAACTTTAAGGTCCGTTCCTATTGAATTTGCATGTCTAGCCACTTTTGGCCACATCGGTCATTCTTGCAAAATGGGGTCATTTTCACGAAAGTGGTTCAGTGACCCATGTCTTAGAATCTTGAGTCCACAACTAGGTGTCATATTACTTTAAGACCCGTGCATGTTGAATTTTCATCTCTAACCGCGTTTGGCCACATCGGCCATTTTATCAAAATGGGTCACTTTTGCAAAGTAATTTCTAGGGCCATGATTATTAGGAGTTTGAAGTCATATAAGCTTTTTGAGATTTTTTTCCGTATCTGAGTGGTCCCCATTGTTGAGTTTGCACTTCTAGCCATCCTTGGCCACATAGGTCATTTTGCAAAATATAGCCTCAATCATGTGTTGCATGTGTCCAATAGGAGGTGTTGTGGCGTCGCATAGTGTCCTGAGTCACTAAATCTATTTGGTCTTATTTTTCTCATTCAGGTATGGATCCATGTACCACAGCTCGAGCATGACCAATATCCCAGGACCATCGCATTTGGGAGCTTGTTTGAAGAGACTTTTTATATTTTGAGTCTATTTTCATGTTTTCTTTTACTTTCTTGTCTTGTCTAGTAGTTTCGAGTCTTTTAGGTGGTGTAAGAGTTTACTGAGTCTTTTGTCATCATACTTCCCATTTGTATTTGAAAACAAAAGAAAAATAGTTCTAAATGAAAAATCCAAAAAGTTTTTTTTTTTTAGTTTATTTTGTCCATTACTTTTCCAGAACTACGCTTGGTCTGATTCATGTGGAACATGATACGTAGGCAACCTACTTATGGTTCGATCAACTCATTTTTAAATTAAAAAAAAAAGAGAGATGAAGTTATGGGATGTGAAAATGAGAGGAAACTGCGGGATACAAGAAAAGAGCGATAATTAGAAAGAAAAGAGAGGGAAGAAAATAAAAACCAAGGAGTGAGAAAAAGGGCCAGGAGAGTAAAATTGGGATGATGCCAAATGACCTTGTGACCCTCGAAGTCACTCCAGAACCGTTAATTGTTGCTAGGTGCATTGCGCGCAATGTGATATTTCTATCTGATAAATACCCTAACGCTAACATGTTCGCTTTGTTTTGCTCCTCTTTGGTATTTTCATTGTTATCATAACAGAAGGTGGTTAGTTTGTGGCATTCTTGCGAGTCGTCCGTACAACAAGGTCAAAGGGCAAGGTAACCATGGCTAGCAAAGACTTGGACACAGGTGTTGTTGATTCGTCTAAGGAGATTGTTGAATCAGAATCTAAGTTGAAAGAAGAGGTCCTAAGGTTGAAAGGACAGATGGCCGAAACATACCAAGCCTGGATTAGTGGGAGTCCTCCACCATTATTTCCCACTAACTACACTGAAAGCCTCGTCACCATTCCTCCAATGTCACAAATATAGATTCCCACTGCCGCTGATATCTCCCCACCACCTTTTCACACTCCACCCCCCAAAATCACCTCATATCCCGCTCCTTTGTATCTCCTTCCCCAGCTATTCTTCCTCGATCCTCTAGCGATACTGTGTTCAAAGTCCCCGATGCCCAACACTATGCTCCAGTGCCCACTTTCAAGGTCTCGGATCCATAATCTTACGCTCCTCATTTTGAGCCTCCCGGTAAAACTGAAAAGCCTGCTAAGACAGTTGAGCAAGATGAGATATCAAGAAAGCTAAAAGGTATAGAACAATCCTTAAAGAATATACAAGGAATGGGAAATAACATGTCTTATAACAACTTGTGTATGTTTTCGGATATTCGTCTGCCTGCGGGGTTTAAAATGTTAAAGTTTAACTTATATGATGGCGTGGAGATCCAATAGCCTTTCTGAGGGGTTATTGCAGTGAAATGAGAAGTGTTTGCGGGATAGATGAATTGTTGATGGCGTATTTCAGGGAGAGTTTGAGTGGGGAAGCCTTGGAGTGGTATACTCGTCAAGATGTCAGTAAGTGGCATGCATGGGGTGACATGGCTCAAGATTTTGTTGGGCACTATAAGTACAACGTAGACATTATCCCAGA